GAAATCTAATTCTAAAGAAAAATGATTGATCAATTATATTATTCTATTGACATATTTCTTGTGAACAGAGAATCACTCGACTATAATAATAAAATTAAGGAAATGAAATAACATGAAAAGATGTCGATATATACTGGAATAGGGAAATAAAAATTTTCATTCTTATTTAGTTATTTATTAAAACCAGATTTTATGCGTCGACCTGATCGTACATTTGATCCATATGCTGAAAGTCCAGTAGATGGTGTTATAGCTGCATTTTGTAGTGTACGTGTTATATCAGGTCAATTTTTATCGGATAAAAAAATTGGTACATATGTCGAAGTTGATATGTATGGTTTACAAGCTGATACAATACGTAAAGAATATCGTACTAAAACAATTCCAGCTAATGGTCTTAATCCAAGATATGATGAAAGTGTTTTTGAATTTCGAAAAGTAAACAAAACAAAACAAAAAAAAAGAATTTTGTTTTGTCTTTATTTTAATATTAAATTTAGATTGTTCTTCCGGATTTAGCCATATTACGTATTGCTGTTTATGAAGAAACAGGAAAACTTATAGGACAACGTGTTTTACCATTAGATGGTTTACAAGCAGGTTATCGACATATATCATTACGTACAGAAGGAAATTTTCCATTATCATTACCAACAATATTTTGTCAAATTATTCTAAAATCTTATGTACCTGATGGTTTAAGTGCATTTGTTGATCAATTAAATAAACCATTATTAATAAAACGAAGTGAAGAATTATTGAATGCAACTTCTAGTAATTCTTTTGATAGTTGTTCAACATCGACTAGTTCATCTATACGACGATCACGTATAAATGATTTAAATTCAACATCAAATGCTTCAATAGATACAAGAACAACTATAGCAACTGTTCCTAGTACAAGTTCAATAAGTACATTATTAACAACTGATACAACTAATGTTTCATCATCATCATCATTAAAATTGAAAACTTCAGCAGAAACAATTATTCCAATAACATTAGATTATTTACGTGAACATAAAAGTTTTTGTAAATTAAAAACAAAACAAGATAAAGAATTAGCTTTAATGAAAAAAAAACATTCAAAAGAACAAAATTTACTTTGTGAACAACAATCAAAAATAATGAGTAAAGCAAAAAATGATTATGATAAAATTATACGTTCACCAATGATACAAAGTGGACATTCAAAAAAAGAATTAAGGTACAATAATAACATAAAGATTACATTGAATAATAATAATTTAATTAACTTTTGAAAAATAAAAAAATCTTTTTTTTTTTCTTCTTACTTCTTAAGCATTTTTTCTCATCGCTTATTTAAATTCTTGATACTAAGGTATTGTTTAATTTGCTCAATAAATAGATACTAATCTTACTAATACATTCTTCTAATCTTTTTTTCATATTTTAATAATTTTTTGGTTTTTTTTTCCAGTAATGGTGGTAGTTTAAGCGAAGGAAAAGCTGATCCTAGGGTAAATAAATAAGATTTTTTTTTGTTTGAAAATAATATATATATATATATATATATATATATATATTTTCTTTATTAGTTAATGGATTTAATTAATGAACAGAATGTTGAATGGACATCACTTGTGCAAAGACAATTAACAGAATTAAATGTAGTACGTCGACAACATACAAAAGAACAATGTGATTTATTACTTTTTTTACTTGATGAAACACAAAAAATACAAATGAAAGAAATAACTGAAAGACATTCAAAGTATAACAAAAAAAAAAAACGAAAATTAAAATTTCAATCTTCTAAAAAAAAAAACAATTTTTGTTTTTTATTTTCAGAGAAAAGAAAGATCTTGAATTAAGTCAAGTACGACAAAATATTGAAGATAGTAAACGACTTGGTTCAGAAAAGAATATTAGAAATAAATCAGATTTAGATCGTCGAGTACGTGAATTAAAATCAAATAATACAAAAAAATTTTTAGAAGAACGAAAAAGACAAATGATGAAACATGATCGAGAAAAAGAAAATTTAGTTAAATCACATGAAATACAAAAAACAACACTTACAAATGAAATTGATAAGGTATATATTAATCTTTTTTTTTCCATCTAAATTCAACATATCAATTTTATTTAAAAAAAAACCATTCTTAATAGAATCACAAAGTGACTATCAAACTCTTTTATTCCATAGATAGTAATGTAAAAGTTCAATGATTCGAGTTGAGATCAAAAAAAAACTATTAGTAGAAGAAGCTGACATCTTTGGTTTCTTGAAATGATTAAAAAAAAACAGACAACCTATTCTTCGGAAATTATATCAAAAAAAGAAGAAAAAAAAGCTGTTAGCACAATCTCTGAAGGATTAAAATATGAAACATAATAGAATGACTGACATTGTAATAAACAGAATTCATCAATTATTACCTACTTATAACATATGTTGATATAAATCGCAATATATTAGAATCAATATGAAAGACAAAAGATAACTATATTAAATTCAATCATGGTTCATATTAATCTCACGGGAGATTTTGATGTCTGTTATAATTGATGAGAAGTAAACGGCAATATTAAATTATCTGTCACGATTTGTGACAGACGAGAGAGAGAGGGAGACGTTTTTAAGCCATCTGTCAAGAGCCATGATAAGGAGGCAAACAATTTCTAAGATATTTGTCATGTCTATGAAAGGGGAAAGGGAACATGTCCAAATTTCTATTGTTATACTTCAACACTTCTCTTAGATTGCGTTTCAACAAAATAATGAGAACACAATTTGTTGATCGATCTGTATAATGAATTATCTATTGTCTAGATAAAAAAAAAGAAATAAGTATTAGTATCTAGTTTGATAACGTAGATTCTATAAAAGAAAACATGGTTTAAGGCATAAAAAAAAACAACAATTTTTTTGTCTAGGACTAAAATTGATAAAACTTATCTTATGCTTCGATATCTGTATAGCAATATTTTGACTGCATGTAATCCTAGCTATGATATTATACAATCTTTAAAAATAGAAACTAACAATGTGAAAATATGAATAACAAATATAAAAATTAATTTATTATTTATTTCTAATATAGATGCTTGAATACAGTATCAATTATCAAGATGAATCACCAATGGCTCGATTTCCATCATCAACTGTATGATAATAATAATAAACAGTTATAAATAAGCATTCGATATTTCGTGATTATTCGATCACCTTTTACTGATATATCTAACTTTAAATTGTATATTATTTGCTTTCGAATTACGTTTTTTTTTTTGTTCCTTATATTTCTTCGGTGACTTTTTCTCTTCGGTGTTGTATTCTTATTTTTATTTTCTCTCCAAACAATGTGCTTGTAATGTATACGCACATTATATATACATATATATTTATTTATTTATTTTTATCTTTTGGTGGTGGATTATTTCTACTAATACTTGTGAGCTGACAAATCAAAATAGTCACTTTGATAGTCAAACAGTATCGGTCTTTTTCTCATTTTTCATGTGCCTCTACTTTGTTTTCTTTCTTCATGTAAGTTTCTAGTCTCTATTATTCAACGAAAACGATCTTAACACAGTCAATTGGTAATCTAATTAAAATAAAAAGCATATAAAAGAAAAAAAACAAAAACTTGTCTATTGTATATGTATTGCATTCCTTCAGACGTGCTACCGAGTTAAAAAAAAATTAATAAGAAAAATTCAAGAAATACATATACAATATATTAATTAGTGAGACGATATTTTTTCTTATGTGTGGAATGCAGTTGTTCATATTTATACGGTCAATATTTTATGTATGTCTAACGAACTTCTTTTTGTTTTTGTCATTTTTCCGCTTCTCTTACACCTATCTTTTCAATAAAAAATTTTTATGGGTAGAAAATAAAACAAAAAAACAAATCTTCTAAAGCAAAACATATAGAATATCCCTAATCAATTTTTCTAGATGGATGCAAAATTTTCACGTTTACAGAATTTTATTAATGAATCTAATAGTGATAATAATGATAATATTCAAACATGGTCTCGAGCAATCTTTTCACGAGACTTATTTCAAACAAATATAAATCGTGTACAAAGTTTTTTTAATAAACGTTCAGATGGTCCACTAACATCATCATCATCAAATACAGATGATATACAAATATTATTACAAAAAGGTGACAATGATCCTATCTTACCAGCATTGGTAAGATTATATTTTCGTTTTGGTGACTCTGTTGTTGTTAAATAATATTGTTTCTGTTTTCTTGCAAATAAGAGACGGATATTAATAAGTTCTTTCCATATTTCAAGCATATCGAGAGATGACTTCATTTCTACAAAAGATAAGGTCGTCGGTAGAGATACGTAGGATCATGTTTTTTTTTTTGGTTCCAGTAACTTTTTGCATTTATCCAGGTGATAGCCTCAATAAATTTGGTCATGTGTCGGCCTAATTCCAGTAACTTCTCTTCTTCGTGATTGCGGTCTTGGTCCCGCACATTTCTAGCATGAGATCAAAAAGTTTTTAGCGGTACACTTTGTTTAAAGATATGTCAGTACTTTAGTTGAATTTGGTTGTATGTTAATTTTCGATGCTCATTTTGATTATATGCTAGATTAGTCCTATCGTATTATTATTGATCGTTTAGACTCGTAAACAACGTATTCTGGGTTTTATGATGTGTCTTGTTATGGGTATATTTTGTATGTCATTGTCTACATTTTATATTCCAGTAATTGTATTCAAAGCAAGAAAATTTGCTTTACTATTTTCATTTGGTAGTCTTTTTTTTCTTTCAAGGTATGAATATATTTTCTATTATAGAGGGTTGTATAAATTGTTATTTTGTTGTTTTTTAGTTTTTCAATGTTATGGGGACCAACAAATCATTTAAAACATTTAACAAATGCTGATCGTCTTCCATTTTCTATATCATATATAGTTACTCTTATTTGTACAATATATTATTCAGTACGGGTAAATATGTTCGATTGTTGTTTTTTTCTTTGACAAGATGTCACTAGTTATCATTCCGATTAGCTAGCAAGTATTCATCGCATTTTTTCTACCTAATCATTTCACTATAAAAGAAAAGTTATGTGAAATAAAAATTTGTGTCGTAGAAAAGGAGAGCCGGTTAGCACTCCCCTTGACAAGGACGGAAGGTCGTCGGACCTATACGACAACACCAGGCAAGGCATGACGGCTAGCACCCGTCACCTGGCTCGTTTTTTTTT